CCACACGCTTACGGATACCAGTATTCCCGGATTTACTTAATTGGCCTTGTCGGAAACGTATATTATAAGGGGGAAATTAGAACCTCTTCATTCTACGTGCAGACTCGGTGATCCGCCCGGTGGCTATTGCCCAAAAAACGAAAGATAGCCTGTTAGAACAATTTAACGGTGATTGCGATTTGTCACGGCTACCGCCGAGATCACGGGTAGAAACTATGGGAGACCTTATTGCAGGATGTTGAATCCCTGCAGAGATTCAGACGTATAACAGCGCCCAGTTTACCTGATCACTTTTCCGACAATTGTGCCAGAAATGGCGAATCCGGCATGTGAGTTCACCATTGTTTCATTCCCAATCGAACGGGCAAGCCTGAAGAGGAAGAGATATTCGGTCAACCACTCAAAATCGGGAGTTGTAACGGAGTCGCTGCCCTAAAACAAACCTAAAACATAACCAAAGGAGCCGCGACAGGCCAAACCAGCTGGTTTATACACGTGGACAACCAGACAACCAATAAGCGTGTCATGCTGCCTTCCAGTTTAGCACGCATTGTAGCAAGCCGTGCGAAGCACACATTCGAGGAGTTTTTGCGTCGGGCTTGCATCTTCTTTAACGTGTTTTCAACCGGAACGATTTTACGGTTCTTGCCCAATTCAGCCAGACAGGCAGTAGGACTCGGTTTGAGAACCACCGGTTAACGGATCCCCCATCTGAGGCTTGGATTCTTGGGGCAGTTCCCGGTGTCATGGATCCGGCGTCCCATTAACAGTGCTCGTCCTCGCATTGTAAAGTCGTAGTGAGAAATTAAAGCAATTGTGCTAAGGGATTGCGTCCATAAGGTCATATTGTTGATATGAACTGAGGCAAAGGTTCTTATTCCAGGTATGTGTATGGATTAAGAAGAAGTCATGTTGATCACCGGAATCACAGTCTTATTAGTCTGACCTTTTAAACTCTTGCAGGAGTCCATCAGAGATAACATCGGCAACGAAAACAAGCAAAATTTTATAGAGATAAGGGGCCAGTTTACCGTCATAGGTACAGGGGGTGACAGGACCAATTAACCACCAGTGCCGTGAGTCTGGAGATACCCGCGCAGGGCAACATATGCGGGCGCCATCTTGATGCATCGGATCGATTAAATCTAAGTGAGCAGTCGGGCGTAGTGTATCGCATACTATGTCTAAATTGCCTAATAAATTACACGAGACAGACTGGACGCATGCTGGGTTCGCGCATACACGAACATAAGCTGGCTGTTCGACGGAGTGACGCATTGTCGCAAGTGGCCGCGCACACCTACGGGACGGGTCACGAGTTCAACTTCGCAGCTGCGAGGATAATTGCCCACGCAAGCATCAAGACGGGCTGAGAACTGATTGAGTCCTGGGCGTCGGATGACAACTCAGTTGACCGATGCATCGAGTTGGCGCCCACATATATTTGTTTAAGATTGCTCTGTGTTTCTTGTATGCGGTTCGATCTTTTTGCCTACTGTAGTTATTTAACGAGCAATGCGTATCAGCCCTTGCCGACTTATAATTTTTGAGTACTGTCGTACTAGCAAAACTATTGACATTTATTACCCTCTGGTTACAAACGTTTCGGTAAGGGTGGACATTGTCGTATATTTCCCATATATTCAATTTAATTCCGTAATAGGAAATTTATTTCGTCTCAATGGTGATAGTATTTCTTGCAGTTTAGTTACTTGCTTGCACTCCAAATAGCACGTGAAGTGGAGCTACAACACCCACAAACTGACAGTTACTCGGACAAAGGTTGGGGTGTTTTTGTCACCCAGAAGATAACGACCCTCCCCTGATACGGACTATCGATAAGGGTGGTGTACATGTTCATTCAGCCAGAATGTCTTCTACTCGAAAGAACTGAAGGAAAAGCCAATGAAGTTTCGTCTCACGCAGAATCGTGAATATAAAAAACTATATCTGTATATGTAAATATACCAATTTTATACTAATCATATAATACATACATAATATAAGATATCATCTTTGATTTAACAGTACTTGAGTGTATAATTTAGCAGTAAGTGAGTCATATGCAGTAGTTCCTTACCCACACGTCAAACAGATGGACCAGATAATCAGCTGCTTTCAAAGTTTGGCGTAAGTCTATCAGGGAAACCCAATTATTCTTTGTTAATGACCTTTCTTTTGTTTATCTGAGGCTGATTAGGGATGGGTTGGACCAATAACTAACTCTCGTCTTAAACATAGGACACACCGACAAAGTGTACAGCTGTATGTATGAGTGCAGTCCACTTCCATGCGTTTCTAATTACTCCGTGTTTCTTGAAGTCTGGTCAATCGGTCTGCATTTAACTAGAAGTGTATGCCAGCCAAGGAGTCTGCCGACTGAGAGTTGGCTTGGCTGTTTTCGTGCAAGCAAATAAACGTATCTTAACTACCCTGAGGGAACAAGACTTTCGGCAACATTTGGCAATATCGTAGGTTTCTCATATGAAAGGGCAAATATAATTTTAGATGTTTTTACTCTTGTCAAGATCGATATAATTTCTTTGTGGTTTAGTTAACTGTTTCCATGATGTAAAGTTAAAGACCCGAAATCCAGCTTGAGCGATGAATTCAAATAATTCACCTTCGCTCGCTTGTTCACTTTATCTAGGTGACAGAAAGACTGGTTGCAAAGTCTCCTTTCAACCTGTATAGCACCCTTGATCAGGCAGGTTCTTAAGCCCACGTTCGCGAAAGCGCCGTGAGAGTATACAGCATTTGAGAGGCGTCAGGGGACAATTGCAAACAGCTGTGTCAATTATGACAAAATTACCTAGCAAATGCCCTCAGTTTTCAGACCTGACTGAGAGCAAACTGGCTGAAATGATATCGATCAACATCGAGCATGACCCGCTGTCAGAAATTCGTCGGCAATATTAAAGTACATATAGCTTGTGGGGCAAGGTAGCGGTGACTCGCCGATTTGCAGTGTGACTGGTAATCTCTTACGTGGCAGGTAATAATTGGTAGGCCAACAGGATGCGGTAGCCTCGGGTGTACACCACCACGCATATACAGTTGTGTGGGAGCTTTGTCGGCATCTCAATGAATTGATACATGGTAAGGCTCGCTTTCGCTTCTTGGTGCGTTCTCCATGGCATCGAGTACAATTTTTGTCACCGTTAGTTGGTGCGTTACGCATTCCAGTGCCCGTAGCATTTTGCCGGCTCCTGCACTGCAAACACAGATATGTTAACGTTTGCAGATTGTGTCGTCTTCTTGACTACTTTGAATCTCTATCCAGCAATCACGCGTACTTCAAATCGATTTATAACTACTATCAAGGCAGTACCATACTCAATAACTCGACACACAAAGTCAAGAACGAAGGGAGTCGGTCAAATTGCCTGACTTCACACAGGGGAACAACACAAATTCGACAACAATGCCCTTCAGGGCAAAACCAATATCGAGTGAGCATGTATGTGTTGATGGGAGAGGCGGGGACTGCCACTTTTATGTGATTTCAGGAGGCAGTTCTTGTGGACTCCAATTGGTCTGAAACACTTGCGCGAAAGGGGGGACATGAACAGGGGCAATAGTGGGCGGGCATTGGGGGAACAACCATTCGTAAGAAGGAAATTTACGTGGAGAATTTCAAACTTGTTCAGCCCGCAAATTCTCCGCATACTGTCCACGTCGGCTGTCATAATTCCCCTACACTTAGCTCATACAAAGAGCGTAACTAGTCACTATTGGAAATAGTGTTATAGGTGATCTTGTCACTAGCAGCACATTCACTAATTCCCCTTTGCTGCCTAGTTAACAAGTCTTACAAACATCTCTCCACACAACGCCGCCCACCGCTCTCACTGATGCACATCTTACTCGTTCGCTGTCTCTCTGTCTTTCTCCCTCTCATTATCTCTCTTTATGTCACTCTGTTTTACTCTGGCTCACTAGCGTCTTCCACACCACGCACTTTCGGTTCTCGAGACCCTCGAAACCCCTTAGTATCGGGTTTTAATATGGAAAGATATTATTTCGTCCATCGACGCCAAAAAACACCTGCCAAATAACGTTCCTGATTCTGGCTCACATGAGCTTGCTTACTTAAATCGTCAGTGTTCGGCAGCCCCAGTCATTTCACTTCCATACTAAACTCTTTGGTGTAAGTGGTGTTATTCGAGCCTCCCAAACCTGGGCTTGCTTCAATGGTTGTAACACCCTAGCTCCTCGTTTCAAAGACGAGCTCTGCCTTGTTCCGTTCAAGTGTGACCACGAAGATGTAAATTTTGTGGTGTACAGTTCGGCACGCAGTGTCGAGTCTTCAAATTCTAAAGCCTTTTCAATTTCAACTGACTCAGGCTCAGCCAATACGCCAGTTGAAACAGGGGATGACAGTTGAGAACACGTAACAGACGGGGGAGATAGGCTCTCACGAAGGGCAGAATCAGAACTGTGATTGATGTCATCCCAATCGGCGGAGTTAACGTGGCCAGACCGTAACTGAGTGTCAGCAGGTACGGGCATCAGCCACCCATGATTTTATGGTACTCTCACTCCCTGAGATCCTATTCAGGCTTGACGGCTCCCGTCTTTTTGACTCTGTCGTTGCACCAAATGCAGACGCGTGATAGAAGAGAGACGCAACGAAAGTCTAGCAGCATTTAAAATTAATTTTTGCGTAATTCACCGTTCCTGTGCCCCGAACATGTGGAGCACATCGTGGGCATGCCAGAATCAGCGATTGTACTGCCATATGTGTATGCAATTATAAAAAAAACTACGAAGCAGTAATGCTCGAGGTATGCTCACTGAGCAGTTCGTTGCCTAATCAGCCACAGCTTTCATCTGTGGGTGCAATTCCTCTGGAGCAGTGTTCCCCTGGAGGGGTTTCTGTTTTTCTCTTTTATTCATAAGCAAGCTTAGTTTCAATCGGGGTACTGTTGAATCCTATTTTCACCTCTACACATTTGTACTCTACGTAACACGTTTTGTTTACGCCCAGATACGCGGATCTGCACTGTAAATTAATTCAGGGATACGTTAAAGGCATTGGCTACTTGCCGGGCATGCGATTCGCCGGTTCTATTTACAAAAACCCCTGGAATGCCGTGCTGATCGACGGCGTTTGGCGCCTCGTTGACTGTCAGTGGGCAGCCCGTACTGATGTCAAGAAAAGGCCCAACGTGAGGGAAGTATTGTACAGTCTGAACACCTTCTGGTTCCTCACCGACCCGGGTCAGTTCATCTATTCGCACTTTCCAGATGATGCTGACTGGCAACTGCTGCACAATCCAATCACGCTGAAGGTAAGTGTTCAGCGTTCCTTCTTCTTAACTCGACTGTAACTCAACCGATTCTATTTTCCAAAACCGAAAAAAGTGAATGGTCTGGAAATGATAATTGGTGACTACTTTACCACATCTGAGTGCTTGATTATTTTTTGGCTAATTACATTGCTTGATGGCTAGTATATTTTGTGTTTATAACCTGCTGTGTATTAAGTTAAGTAACACACTTCTCTCCTAATTGAGTACAGTTAACGTCGACGGTATAATCCTGGTTCTTTTCGTTCGGAACAACCGGGAAGACCAATAGACTGCTCGTCTTCAGCTAATTAATGTGCTTTTAATAGAGGCTCAAGTGTTTTCCTTTACACCACATTTAGCTCTTGATAGAAATAAGCTGCTGTTATAAACTACTGATTTATGCGACATCTGGCCTCTTCTCTGCGGAAAATATTATTGCGATATAAAAAACGAAAGATTCCAGTTTCAATGCTGCTGTTTGCTACGCATGGAGCATATGTACGTTTACATTGTAGCTAACATGCCTGGACCACCTTTCAGCGCGATATAATTTGACATGTGTCATACTCAGTCCGGTGGTATCTGGAAAGTCCGTTAAATAGGGCCTAAAATAGCGATTATAGCACGAGTACTCGACAACAGTGGAATTTTCTGTAGGCTTTCTTTTACGGTGCTGACTTACAAGAAAGTTCACAGTCGCGACAGCCGCTTTCCGTGAGCCAGTTTTGTCAGCTCAATTCTGATTGGCCCATTGTCTGACGATGCCTCTCGCATTCCCTTTAACGTGCATGCACCCTGTGTCTGACTTGACTTGCGCTGACTTGCATTGACGCGCTGTACCGTGCTCTTGTCTGAGTAAACTCTCTGTTTGGCCGACTGGTCTTCTCACTGTCTCTCTTACGTGTTTGGGACTTTCGTGCTTATTACTAATACCAGGCGCCGGTCATATCAATATAATGTCGGAATAGCCATTGCTTAATGAGCACTACTTTGTACTTTATTTTATGCTTTTCTTTAATCTCGGAAATTCGCGGTTACTCGCGTTTTTCCACGTGTGTAGGCACTTCCGGATATTTTAAGCAACTAATTTTGAGCATTTTTCC